ACGTCATAAAAATTTACATTTTGAAATTTATTTATTTATTTAATATATCGGACAGTGACCCTTAAAAAAAAAAAAAGAGAAAAAATTTTTCGTTTGTTCATTCGAATTCGAAATTTCCCGCCATTTTTTTTTTTTAATTAAGTTTTAGATGAAATCGGGAGTTTTTTTTATTTAATTTATGTTAATTATATGTGATAAGTAAAAAAAAAAAAATTTATTTATTCATAGAATGATAAAAGTAATTTACGTGATTGACAAACTTAATGAATTTTTTTTTTTTTAAACAAACGCATTCGTTTGTTTTGTTTGTTATTATTATGACAAACGGGTAAATCGTTTTTTTATCGGGTTTCGAACGGGGTTTAAAAGAATTTAAACGAACGGACGAAAAAATCGAAGAAAGAACGTTTAAGGGAGAAAAGAAAATTTTTAGGTTGTTGCAATTAGGAAATGTGGCAGAGAAAGAGAAAGAGAGAGAGAGATAGAGAGAAATAGAAAGACAGAAAAAGACACAGAAAGAAAGAAAATAAGGCAGAGGGAGGGTGTTAAAGATTAAAAGAGAGAGGGAAAATAATACCAAATGGTAGAAAAAAAGAGAGGAAGAGAAGAAATAAAGCAAAGGAAAAGAGAAGACAGACAAAAAGTAAGAAAGAAAAGACAAAATTAGTGATGAGAAAATGAGAGAAAGAAAAACAAAAAGATAGAGAAGAAAGCAAAAAGAAAAGAGAGAAAAGAATACCGAATGTAAGAAAAAATACAGAAAAAAAGGGAAATAAAAAAGAGGGAAGGAGAGAGACAGAGAGAGAAAGAGAAGACAGACAGAAAGGAAGAAAGAAAAGACAGAATTTGTGAGAAAATGAGAGAAAAAAAAATAAAAAGATAAAAAAATAGAGAGAGAAAAAGGTAGACAAAAAGGGAGATAAAAAGAGAGAGAAAATAAGGTAGAGTAAGAGAGATAAAAAGAGAGAGAGAAAATGATACAAAAAAAAATTTATTCAAATACTCTGTGACCGAATAATAATCGAATATTCTGGTGGAATTTTCATAATAAAATTGAAACCGTTTCTAGAAATTTTTTTTTTTTTTGGTCGTTTGTGTTTGTCACGGGCAAAAGGTAATTTTTCATCATCATTAATCAATCTTCACACTCCCCCTCCCGCCCCCTTCCGCCCCCTTTTTTTCCCCCTCTCATTTAACACTTTCTCTCTCTCTCTCGTTATTTCCTTTTTCTCCCACCCACTTTTACTTTTTTTTTCTTTTTCGTAACGGCCCTCATTATTATCATTATTTTTTTTTCTCTTTCCATATTAAAACCTCTTAATTATTTTGTTCCAATTATGGAAAACCGTTTGTTCGTTTGTTTGTTTGTTTTTTAATAATACGTAATTTAAATTGTTCTTTAATAATAATAATAAAATTAGGTTCTGTTATTATTTCGTTTCGAGAATAAAAAAAAAATGGCCTCCAAATCGATTTTTTTTTAATAAACTCTCCGTATGTTGTTCTCCAGTCGTTCTCCATAAAAATTAAACAATTTCGGATAATTACGATTGGAAATTTCATTTTTTTCCCGCCAAAAAATACAAATTTAAAATTTAATTTAAACCGAACTTAAGTTATTAGAATTACAGTTATTATTATTTGTTGTTGTCTTTTAATCGTGTGCTGGATAATTCCAGAAGGTATCGAGCGATTCCAGTACGTTTTCCGTATAAGAAAAATATTTTTTAAAAAAACGGAAACGGATTTAAGAATTTTGAAATTTTTTAATTTAAAAAAAAAAACTTTTTAAACGAATTTTTCGGTTTAATAATTGAACGACTTGTTAAATAAGTAAAATTTGCGGTTGTTAAAAACTTTTTCATATTTTACGTTCGTTATAGCTAACATACAAGCAAAAGTTGATGAAGTCAAAAGATTTTAAAATTCTAAAAAGAAAGGAAAAAAATGGGGGCGGGGGAGCGGGACGAGTGGGAGTAGGCTGAAACGAGCAAAAGGGAAAAGGAAATAAAAAATGAAAAAAAAAGTTTTTAATTTTAATATTAAATTCATTATTATTATTATTATTATTATTATTATTATTATTATTATTATTATTATTATTAAATTTTTGTTTGTTAACGTAGTCGTTCGAAACAATCGAAGAAACAGGAAGTAGTCGGAAGAAGAAAAGAAAAAATTTTTATAGTAATGACTAACAAAATAAAGGTTTAGTGACACGACGACGACAAAACGTTTTTATATAAAGTAAAAATAAAAAAAAATTCTCGCGTTTGTTTGACACGTTTCCGAACGAGCAACAAACAAACAAACAAACAATATGAAAAGTCGTACGTCGTAGTCGTCGTGACTTAAGAAAATCATGTCATTCAATTTTTACGACAAAATAAACAAATGCGTGACTGAAACGTTTGTAATAAAAAAAAATGGCAATAAAGTTAAAAAAAAAAAAAAAAATTTTTCGGTTCCGTTTCCGGTTTTTAAAATTAAAATTAATTCCGGTAACGTTTGTTTCACGAAAACAAAATTCTTAAGAGTATTTTACTTGTTCCTTTTTTTTTTTACGTATTATTATTATTATTAATATAACGGTGATTCATAATTTTTTTTTTTGTCTGGAATTTCCCACGGAATCCTTCGGGATAAGGGTTTACAAAAAAATCTTCCGATCCTTTTTTTTTTTTTTTTTTTTTTACTAAACGATGCAATTTTTTTTTCTAAAGTTTTTACCAAATCACATGATTCAAGAAAGAAAAAAAAAATTTCCCTCGTGGCTTATTTTTTATTTTCTTCTCTGTTCCTGTCGTTTTGCGTCGACCATTTTCCCTTGAAAAAATATTTTTCAAAATCTTTAAAGCATCCGGAAAAAGGTTTAAATGGGTTCTAAGCCTCCTCGATCCGCCCTCGGATTTTTTTATTACATATAAACAAAATGGCTACAACGCAGTAACAACAACATCAACAACCGAACGTTAAGCAAAGAGAGTAAAAAAAAAAAAAGTTAAAAAAATAAATTGGGAACGACGTGTCAGTAGACAACAGACGGATTTTAAATACATTTTTTATAAGTAATATATTTGAGTGGTGTGCGGTAAAGAAAGACGAAAGAAACGAGCGTCGAATCAACAGTAAACGGAATTTCGTTTGTTTTCCTGTGTTTGTTATGTTTGTTCGTTTTTTTTTGAGAGAGAGGGAGAGAGAGAGAGAGAGAGAGAGAGTGGTGAGAACACGACAGAAACAGATAAAAATTTCAAAAGTTTTCCGATGGAAAATTTCTTTTCTGTTAAATAAAACTTTTATATTTTTTTTTCTTCTTCTTCATAAAACTCGGTTCGTTGTTCTGGAAAAAATTATTATTATTATTACTATTATTATTATTATCATTATTATCATTATTATTATTATTGTGATGTTAAAATATTGTAGTGGATGTAGAGAAATTTTTTTTTTGTTTTTTTTTTTTTTTTTAGTTTTTCTTAATGAAGTTAACGAATTAAATATTATTATTTAATTTCCGTTTCCGGTTTTTAAATTTTTTTTTTTTCTAAAGAAAGTTTTATTAGTTACACGACAAAATAGAAAATTGTATTCGTTCGTCATTATGCTAAAAATAAAAACGCAAAAAAAAAAAAAAAATTTTTTTAAAAACATAAATTATGTTAATGACGTCATGGCACACCACGTGCGCGCGATTTAAAATTCACATAAATTTCAAAATTTGCGTTATTTTACGCCGCGTAAAAAAAAAAATGCAAATTTTTTTAAGATGAGTTTAAAAAACCTTGAAATTTAAGCGTAAGCGTTACGTACACGACGAACGTTTCACGTTTCGTGCCACGATTTGGTTGATTTTCTCCAAATACCAACCACGTCGTCAGTTCATGTTTGCCTGTAAAAAAAAAAATAAAAAATTCCAGAACGTTCCAGCAAATCCGAAATTTCAACTTTTTTAAAATTTGTTTACGAAATAATCATTATTATCATCATCGTTTGTCATCGGTGGTGGATTTGTTCGTTTGTTTAATTGAGTCCCCCAATAAAATAAAAAATAAAAATTGTGTGACGTCATTGTTTCATTCGCTCAAACTTTTTAATTCAGGAGTTATTAATTAATTTAAAAACCAAATTTGGAAAACTGAGTTGACTGAATTGACACTGAGTAAGAAAGAGAGAGGGAGAGGGTGCGAAGGAATGAGAGAAAGAGAGAAAGTAAATGAAATTGAATGGAGGGTAGAAAGAATGAAGAGAGAGAAAGAGAGAGGGAGAGGGTGCGAAGGAATGAGAGAAAGAGAGAAAGTAAATGAAATTGAATGGAGGGTAGAAAGAATGAAGAGAGAGAAAGAGAGAGAGAGAGAGAAACTAATGAAATAAAGTTTAAATTGTTTTTTTTTTGAAATTTCAAAACTTTGACCACGTGCCTTTTGTTTTTCGTCATTCGTTAATGATTGAAGGAACAAATGATTGAATGAATAACTGAATGAATGATTGAATGAACGAACGAATGACTGAATGAATGATTGAATGAACGAACGAATGATTGAATGAATAATAATAATACTAATAATAACAACCGCCGGAAAAAAATAATTTTACGAGAAAATTCGTTATAATAATAATAATAATATTAATAATAATAGTGATAATAATAATAATTGTTTGTTTTTTTTGCATTCGGTCGGGGAGGGGGGAGGGTCGTGATCGTGTTTGCCGGGATCCCAAAATTTTTCCCATTTCGACGTTTTTAAATATTTTTTTTTCTTCTTATGAACAGATTTAAAAAGGAGAAACTATAAAAATTTATTAAGTGATAATAATAATAATAAATAACAATAATAATAATAATAATAAAACAATAAAACGTCACAGTCGTCGCGTGCGTGTCGGCCATGTTTAATAAAAAAATAAATATCATCCGGACAAGAATCGTGAATTGTGATGATCGTTAAAGGGGGGGTTGTAAAAAAAAAAAAAATTTCGTCGTCGTGTCAGAAGAAAAAGAAATGAAATATAAAAGTGATAAAATAAATAAAGAAAGTATGATAATAATAATAATATATCGATCGATATAAATCGAATGTTAAAATTTTTGTTTTTTTTCGTCGCATGTGCGTGATAGAACCGTTGAAAGATTCGTGAAGAAGATTCGGTCAAATGCTGACCTGTTTCGTCATAATATTATTATATCTGACGTCATACATTTCGGGACTGTCAAATAACGATCATTTAAGATCGCATTTTTATCACGTGAACGCGTCGTCGTCGTCGTCATTATCGCCGTCGGTGTTTTCTAAGCGTTTAAACGGTGTTAAAAATTATATAAAAACAACCGGAAATGATGGAAAAGAAGAGAAAACGACGTGCAGGAATTTACTCAGCGGAAGTAGTCCATCAATCATACCTGGTATCGTACAATTGGCCGTCATCGCTCCATCCGATCCTAATCACGAACAAGCATTATCGAAAATTTTACCCTCGATATATTTAGCAGTGAGATCCGTGTCACATCCGGAAAATGGTATACTTCCGGGTTGGGATATACGTGTCGATTACAGGGATTCAAATTGTTCTTCGACTTTGGGACCTTTGGCAGCCGTTGAATTCTACATCAACAAATCCGTAGGTGAATGATAACTCAATCATTTTTCAAAAAATTTTTTTTTATTTAGTACAATACCAAATGTCTCGAACTCCCCCCCCCAAAAAAAAATGACGTCATCGTTTCACGAAACGAATTATTATTATCAAAATAAAATAAACGACGTCATAAATGTAACGAAATAAAAAAAAAATAACTCGAGTTGATGATTGATTGATTGATCGATTACATCTGGCGTTTGTTGTTGTTTTCAACCGTCGTCCAGCAGAAGACATTTATTTAAATAAACAATTTTTAAATTCTTACGTCATCCTACTGACCTGCATAACGTGCGTGACGTGACCGAAATTTTCTTCTTACTTTACGATTCTTATATTAATTTTATCATTATTATTATTATTATCGATTCGCGTTTGTTGTATAAAATTAATTGATTATCATTTTGTTACCTTTTTTAGTTTTTATTTATTTATTTTTTTTTCTCCAGCGTTTGTTCGATTGTTTTCTTTTTTTTTTTTTCTCATCGTCATCGTAATTATTTTTAAATCGGTTTTTAAATGACGTCAAGCCACTTTTTTTTTATTACTTCGAATCGTAATTAAATTATTATCATTATTATTTTATGGATAAACGTCGTTGGAAAGATTTTGTTTTCTAGAGTTTTGTAAGGATTTTCTCCAGGTAATCTGGTTTTTATGATAAGGGGCTCGTAATAACAGAGAATCAATAATGTTCAGCTTATGTGTAAAAACGTATTTTGATTTTTATAGTTCGTTGACCTTGATAAATCATGAAAATGTGTTTGAATTTGATAAGAAGTGTTTTAAAAGAGAGAGAGAGAGAAAATAAATAAATATATATATAATCGGGAGGTTTAGAAAAAATTTTAAAGAGGAAATGAAAATTTGGACGGCGGAAATCGGTGAATGAAAAAACGCGAAAGATTTAACGAGCGTGACACAACTGAGTGCTTATGAGAATGAGATGGATAAAGAGAGAGAGAGAGAGAGAGAGAGAATGAAGTCGACAGATAGATAGATAAAGAGAGAGAGAGAAAGAGGCAAAGTGACACAGAGAGAAACAGAAACACAGAAAAAAAAAGAAAAAAAAGAAAAAGGAAAGAGAGAGAAATTAAGAAAAAGAGAGAAAGAGAGGGAAAAGAAAAGAGAAAGAGAGAGAAATTAAGAAAAAGAGAGAAAGAGAGGGAAAAGAAAAGAGAAAGAGAGAGAGAGAGAGATTTTTTCATCAAAATAAAAATTTTCATCGTAAAAAAAAAATCCCAAAAAGAGGAAATCGACTTTCGATTTTCAATTATAATTTTTTATTCTTAGTCGTGGAATTATCGCTTTAACAAGTAGTTTTTCGTGCTAGTGACACTTTTCAAAGTTTTTTTTTTTATTATATTATTTGATTTGTCTGAATAATAAATTCCAAGTTTAAACTTTTTTTTTTAGGGGGGGTTTCCAAACTGTCATTTAAAATAAAATCCTTAACTGTCTTTCTTGTTTAAATAAAATTATTTATTTATTTATTTTTATTTAAACAATTTAATTAACAATAAAAAAAAAATTTTTATGACATTTTTAACGATTCTTTAAATCCGCCATTTTTTTTTTAAATAAAATCCTCCCCCTTTTTAAATTTTCCATTTAAAATTCCATTAAAAAATTGAATTATAAAAATTGAGGTCGTGCACGGAAACATTGAAAAAAAAAAAAAGTCAAAAGATTGACTGACGTGGAAATTGTGTCAAATATCATCTGTTATCAGTTTGACTGATAACTGTAAATACACCCGCGGTTATAAATGGACTCGATGATTCTATTGGGGCGATGATGACTTGTCGAAAATTTCTTTTTTTTTTTTTTTTTTTTTTTTTTTTTGATTTTCGTACGCGCCAATCAATAAACAATCAAAAAAAAAAAAAAAAATTTTGTTTTGATTTGTTCCTGCCATCGGTACCTGAATGATAATATTAATAATAATGATGATGGTAAAAATTTGTTAGGTATAAGAAAATGACAAATTGATTTTGATTGAATATGTTTATGATAGATTTTTTTCATAAGATAAATACTAACGCAAATAATTTCTCTCTCTCTCTTTCTTTCATCATCTTTCACATTACCTCTCTTTATCTGTCATCATTTTTTTCAGCATCTCTCTCTTTCTCTCTCTCTCATTCATCGTCTCTGTCTTTCTCTCTATCTCTGCAGGGGATTTAAATCATATAAAACCAAAACGAGTAGGATTAGGTACGAGAAATTAATTCGAATTATTAAATTTATTCATTTGATGCCACGACGACGATGATGATGATGAATCGAAGGTATTTTCGTTTCGGGTATTATTAAAAACAAAGTGAGAGTCCTACCGTTCGTTTGTTTGTTTGTTGTAAGTATCCGACAACAAATTAAAAAAAAAAATAGGCGATTAATTTGTTTTTTGTTATTGTTGAAAATCGTTAACGAACGAAATATTTGTTTGTTTTGAATTTTTTTTTTTTTAACAGCGACAAACGTAATTATTTGTAATAATAATAATGATGATTATTTAAACGGAATTGATCAAATAGATTTTTACAAATAGGTGTCCGTTTGTTTTTTTAAAGTAAAAAAACGATTGTTTTGTTTATTCCGTGAAAGATTTAAAATAAATAAATAAATAAAAATCGGAGGCTGTAACAACTAATTAATTCTAATTACACGTTTCTTTGACACGACCCAACGTGACTAACAACCGTGATAAAAATTTTTGAAAAAATCTGTTTGTTTTTAACCTTTACCAATTTTTTTCTTATTCTTATTCTCACCAAAACTTTTGACTTTTGTTCTATTTCCGGATTCCAGTTGGTTTTTTTCGATAATTATTTAAAATTAATGACGTCATTATTTTCTACGAGTAAATCGTAAATGAAAAAAAAAACGAACAAACGAAAGAAAAGTCGTCGCGACGTGGCAGCAGGAGTTTGTTGAAAAGATTTAATTATCGTGTTTTAACAACAACTTGAGATTAACAGAGTTAATTGACTAAGTTTGACCCTTTTTGAATCGTGTAAATATTTTTCAGAAATGAATTTTCTCTAAGAGAAAATTGTCTTCTGCTTGGTTTTTGTTTGTCATCGTCGTCTGCTGATTCAAAAGTTTAACAAAGTTTAATTTCACGGTTCGAATGAAAATAATGAATTTTATCGTATGAAAAGCTTTTTAAAATTTTGGATCGTACATACGATATTTGAATTGATTCGATTTTAAATTATACGAATGTGTCATTTATTATTATTATCATCGTCGAATTTACCCGACGGGGAAACGGGAAATGGATTAAAAAATTTTTTTTTTTTGAAAAAATTTCGCACGAAATCGTTTTTTTTTTTTTTAATAACTGCAGATAAAAACTTTTTGTAAAATTTTTATTATTTAATGATTTTGATAAACGTTAGCGGAAGTGGAGGAGAAAAAAAAGAAGAGGAAATCGGAAACGGAAATGAGATTGACACTTAAAAGAAAAAAATATGAAAGAGAGAGAAAAAATTAACGTTCGAACCGAGTTTTATTCGTTTCCTTCCCGTTTTTTTTTCTTTTTTTCTACTTCCACGTTTTTTTTTTCCCTCCCGACAGTATATAAATTTATCTCTTTCTCTCTCTCATTTTCTTATTACAATGCATTTTTTCTCTTAATAATTTTTGTTTTGAAAATTCGACAAGGAAATTTTAATATCGATCGATTTATGGCGGATGACGTTAATAGTTTCCAACAATCTTTTTGCCCCCGCCCCCTCTTCACCTCCTCTCCTCCTCGCTTTTTTTTTATTGTTAATTTTCCTTTGATTTTATTCCGAAGATGTAGCGAATCGGAAAAAATGGAAGAAGAAGAAAAAGAAGAAGGAGAAAAGTTGCGGAAAATATTCTAGTCTAGTCGGCGTCCTTTTTTATGCGTTTCTTTTTTGTTTTGCCCCTCGGCAAAGGAAAAAAGTTTTTTTTCCTTTGAAAAACTCTCTTTCTATTTTCTTAAACAAAACGAATAATAATAATTTAAAAATTTCGTTCCGGTTAAAATTCCAGCGAAATTTTTTTTTTTTTTTTTAGGAAAAAAATTGAAAAACACAAAAAATAAATAAAAAAAAATTAAATTTTCCTAGGTCGTGGAAGTTGTTTGTTGTTGTCGTTGTTGGTATAGGTTGACGATTGTGTTTTTCCAGTTTTTTTTGTCCATGAATAAAATATTGTTCGTCGTCTCTTATCACCTTGATTTTTTTTTTTTTAAATATCATTTTAAACCGTATAATTACGTTTTGTAATAAATTAAATGTAATCGTTCAAGTCGTTAATGTGACGCACCTGTAAGCGTGCTCACATTCCTACGAGCGGAAACAGTCGGAAACAAACGGCGGATGCAGATGCATTAAATCAAATTGTAAAAATATTATTATTATTATTTTTTTTTTGTTTGGATGTAAAATAAGAATTTTAAAAAAAAAATAGAGAACAGAACGAAAAAGAGAGACAGAAAAGAAAAAAAGTAAAGAAGAGAGGGACAGTCAGTAATAGAGACAAGAGACGACAGAGACAAGAAGGTAACTCAAGACGAGAGAAAGAGATACAAGAGACAGAGAAGAGAAAGGCAGTCGATAACAAACAGACAAAGAGACAAAAAAGACGAATAAAAAGAGACAGGGGGGGAGGGAAAGAGAGAAAACGAAGAAGAGAAACAAAAAGAAAAGGGTAGAAAAAGAGAGACAGATTGGGAGAGTAAAGAAAAGAGGCAAGACAGAGACAGTGGAAGAGAAACACAGTCAGTAACAAACAAAAATAGAAACAAAATCAGACAAATTTAGAGAGCAAGAGAGAGAGAGATGCAAAGACAAAAAGAGAGAGAGATAGAAACATGTATTCATTAGTGACGATTTACATTAAATAGAACTATAATGTCAAAGTTGAAAAATTTCACTTTTTCAAGAACGTCTATAATTCGTCTATAAATTATTATTATTATTATTATTATTAATTTCTACGTAGTAGTAAAATTAAGT